CAAATCTCGCATACATCTTGATGTTTTCTTCACACTCTGGGGTCTGCTTGTTCTTGTTGCAGAACATGATCAGGACAGCATCACAAAGGAATCCAGCTCTTCTCACTACTAGAAGCATGTGGGCTCTGGTCCCTCAGCAAAGTGAGAAGTGGCCTACGTGGAAAGGGCCAGAATTCTGGAGCTGATTGTTGACTAAAACCCTGATCTGTTTCCCAAGTTTCTTCCAAAACTCCACTGTGGATTGCAGAACAACTTTTTTTTTTAATTTTTATTTTTTTAACTTTTATTTAATGAATATAAATTTCCAAAGTACGGCTTATAGATTACAATGGCTTCCCCCCCATAACGTCCCTCCCACCCGCAACCCTCCCCTCTCCCACTCCCTCTCCCCTTCCATTCACATCAAGATTCATTTTCGATTCTCTTTATATACAGAAGATCAGTTGAGCATACATTAAGTAAAGATTTCAACAGTTAGCTCCCACACAGAAACATAAAGTGAAAAATAATAGATGATTTTTTAAATGATGATGAAATCAGATCAGACCTATTGTCATGTTTAATCCCAGTGAGAGTCAAGTTGGGAATTGATAATTTCTTCTTCTTCTTTTTTTTTTTTTTTTTTTAGAGAAGATCAGTTTAGTATACATTAAGTAAAGATTTCAGTCGTTTGCACCCCCATAGAAACACAAAGTGAAATATACTGTTTGAGTACTCGTTATAGCATTAAGTCTCAATGTACAGCACATTAAGGACAGAGATCCTACATGAGGAGTAAGTGCACAGTGACTCAGGAGCCATCTTGGACATACGTCATAGGCAGAACAACTTTAAATGTCTCATAAATTCAAGTGCAACCAGAGAGGTTAAAAATATCTAAGATTATAGTGTCCGGTGTATGTAACAATCTTAAACTGATATTAACATGAACTTATTTTCCTCCAACCATTGGGAACTGCGGGACTGTGCTTTCTAGAATCTCCTATTCCCTCTGGGGAGGAAATCCTTTCCAAGATTTTAAACTAAGGTTTATGATGAAAAATCATATTCTTATCCAGCTTAAAACTCCACTGTGTGGAGGCAGACGTTTAGCCTAGAGATTAAGATGCTTACGTATATCAGAGTACCTGGGTCCAATACCCAGCTTTCACTCCCAACTCCAGCTTTTACTAATGTAGAACCTGGAAGGCAGCAGTGATGGCCCAAAGAATTGGGTTTCTTCTACCCACCCACACAAGCCCCCTGGGTTGAGTTTCTGGCTCCTGCCTTTGGCCTTGGTGGTGTAGTTTAAATCTCCCTGTTTCTCTCTTCCCACCATGAGCCGTTCTTTCATTCAAGAGCCTGGGGAGGAGAGGAGAGGAAAGGAGAGTAGAGGAGAGGAGAGGAGAGGAGAGGAGAGGAGGGGAGGGGAGGGGAGGGGAGGGGAGGGGAGGGGAGGGGAGGGGAGGGGAGGGGAGGGGAGGGGAGGGGAGGGGAGGGGAGGGGAAAGCAGGAAGCGAGGGAGAGAAACAAGGGAGGAGAGGAGGAGAGGGAGGGGGAGGGGAGGAGGGGAGGGGAGGGGAGGGGAGACCTGGCTGACTGCAGCAGTGTATCTGTCCTTCCTCCACTTCTATAGTTTCTCTGGCAAGTTGAAGGAGAAGATGATTTACAAAGAAGGAAGCAAAGGCATTTCCCTGAAGAGAACTTGTTTTAGTCATTTCTCTGTTGACTGTTGCTGCTTCTCTAATAACAATGCTAAAAATCACAAATGACATTTCCAGTGCCAATGCGAAATAGACAGATATAGACAGACATAATTTGAATTTACTTTTATTATCTCCATTTTACAGATGAGGAAATCAAGGCTCAAAGAGATGCTCAAACTCATGTATCTAGTAATGACAAATCACTATTGAAACCCAGGCCTTTCAATGCCTCGATGGGTTATCAATGCCTCTGTGTTGCAGACATGCTAATGTTCATTGGGCTGACAGGAAACACATGTCTCTATGGTCCAAATGGTGGGAGTGGCTGTGATTCTTTTCAGAAAGTAACACTACTTTTTAAAGATTTTTTTTTTATTTTGGTTTTATTTGAAGTGCAGAGAAAGAGACAGGAAGACAGAGAAAGCTCCCACTCCATTGGTTTACTCCCGAAATACCCCTAGCATCCAGGACATCCAGAAAGCAGAAGCCAGAAGTGTAGAACTCAATCCTCGCCTCCCACATGGATGGCAGGATCCCAAGAATGGAGCCATTGTCAGCGGTCTCCAGGGTTGCACATTAGCAAGAAGCTGGAATTGGTGGCAGGAGAGGGGTTGGCATTGTGGCACGGTGGTCTGAGCTGTCGCTTGCAACACTGATAGCCCATATCAGGGAGCTGATGGATCCCTGCTGCTCTGTGTGGGAAAGCAGCAGATGATGGCCCAAGTATCTGATCCGCTGCCACCCATGTGGGAGACCCAGATGGTGTTCCTGGTCCCTGGCTTTGGCCTGGTCCTGGCCATTGATGCCATTTGGGGAGTGAATCAGTAGATAAAAGATTCTCTCTCTCTCCCTTCCTCTCTCCTTCTCTCCCTCTCACCCTCCTTCCCTCTCTCACCCTCTATGTCTTTCAAATAAGTAAATCATATTTTTTTTACAGAAGCTGGAATGGAAGTAGAGGAGCCAGGACTTTATTCAGGCTTTCCAATATGGGATGCAGCCATCCCAAGTGGCAAACAGACCACTGCACCAGATATCTGCCCCAGTAATATTTTTAAAAAAACAAAACCCAAATCCTTGGCTTTGGGTGCTAGTCTCTGAGTCTTAGTTTAAAAAAAAAAAACTTTAGATATTTTGTAATGATGTACACAGAAAATATTGAAAAATGAGAAGATCTAGAGGAATAATTTATCTCCTTTCCTCTTGTTCTTACTGAAGCGCCTTCCACCTTCATCTGATGATTGAGAACCAAAGTTATTTGTCTGGTGGCAGAGCCTACTTATTAAAATAAAGGTTGGGTGATTGTGCCCTCTGGACATTCTAAAGGAAATGTCAGATTGTGTGTGTGTAATTTAAATATATCCAATGATTATTTGAGAACATGCCAACCACAGGTGAAAAGAATCAAATGAACACAAGGCGAATCAGTGCAATGAATAATTGCAATGAAAATACCAATGTTTTGAAGAGATGCATACATTCGTAATACTCATTCACCCAGTTAGTTCACTTAACATCAATTTGCCTAAACTTAGTTTATTTAGTTTCACTACCCTGATGATTACTGCATCTAATGTTTAAAAAAAAGGTTAAAAAATTTATAAATCGTATTGATTAGACTGTGTAATATGCTATGTAAATAAATGTTTCAGACTTATTTTTTGCATTGTTAACACTTATTTTTATCGTATATAAAGGCACATTATCTTTCTACAGTTTTATTTAACGTAGAACACTTGCAATGTTTTCTAGCTAGTTCTTGAAAAATGACTACTTCCTTATATTTTTGTGTTTCTGCTAAAAATATTTATTAGACTAAAATGTATTTCCTGAAAAATCAACCTTTGATTATTCTTACATTCTTGCTGCTTCCTTTTTCGTAAGGGTCTATAATCTGCTATATAGGTGTGTATTTATATGTGTGTGCATTAACCATATTATCATTCTCAGTGGCTGTTTAGTGAGCTATTATGATTTCATTAGAATGAGGAAAATGGATCCCTATTTTGATCACATTCCATGTTATTTATCAAGAAATCTAATTGATAAGGTTTTCAAATTCAAACTGATACATCATTTCCAAATAAATTTATAGTAAGAAAGATAAAAATTTTGTTAAGATTTCTGGAAATACCACTAGTGTGTTAACAAATTAATAACCATATACTACTACCTTTTCCATTTTGTGAAAACATAATAAAACTCCATTCCTTTTGAAAGAAAAAAAATTGGTTTCTAAGTCTCATCTTCAGGTTGATTTAATAAAAAGCCCATCACGACACAGAAAAGTCAAAAGCTCAAGATGGTAAGACCTTTGCAGTCTCTAACTCTTCCAAATTTGAAAGGAAATGATTGGAAATATGAAATTGTTGTATTTCAGGAAGATTGCATTCTCAGAAGAGTTCAGTTTAGAATTCTTAAAATGCCAAAATGGATCTACAACCTTTTCAAGGAGGTGGACCTTGACATTCAGAGAAGTTCTCATACAGTACATTGGTTTTAGACCATACATAAGTTTTATTTTTTCCTTTTATAATGGGGATTTTGGAGGACAAAGAGGAAATAAACCATATAGCCTGGAGAATATTGTGAAGTTCCAAATTTTGCATACAAATATAAGATGAAATAATGCAGAAATGCTGGCCATAGTTCACCCTTCCAAGGGCTCTCATGTCTTGGGAAAGTCTGAGATGGAGCATCCCTAGTGGGAGTCTCCTCAGAACCCTGAGTTTCACCTTGGATGGCATAACCAGCTACAAAATTTGTAGGGCCCACTGCAAAATAAAAATGCAAGGTCCCTTGTTCAAAAATACTAAGTATTTTAAGACAGTAAGAGCAGAGTATTAAACTAAGCACTGGTCCTTCAGAGCTTAGGATCCTGCTGACTGCACAGCTTGCAAGCCCTTGAAGCCAGCTGAGTCTATGAGAATAACAGTTTTCTAATTTATCCTTTACCATCTCCCTTCTTGCACTGACTCATCTTGGTGTCTTAAGACAAAGTGTCCTGGTAGCTCATGGAGAAGAATTCTGAGCTGAGACACTGCCTTGCTTGGTGAACTCCATGGTCGATTCAGTTTGCAAAGGAGCTGATAATGATGCCCATGACTGACAGTTCCTGCAGACAGTGTTTTCCTAATCTCCAAATCTGCCTGCCAGTGCCATATTTGATAGAGAGTGGAAGCAGAGAAATTGTTTTAGAAACTGAGATGTTAGCAGTACCAAACTGTCTTTGTCACATCATGAGATGAAAAGGCACTAACTTTTTTTTCTTTTCTTTTTTAATTTGATTTCCCGTGGGAACTTCTTTACCTGTAATAGAATGGAGGTAAGATACTGTTGTTATACTAATCTATTGCTTTGTTGTATTTTTTTATTTGACATGCCATTTATTGTTTCTTATTTGCTGAGCACTGTAAACTTTCAGAAACTTTATAATCCTTTTGACACTCTTACAAGATAATAATGATGACGAAGAGAGAGATAGGTAACATCTGTTTAGTACTTGTATGTCAGATATGGTGCTAAGACATCCTCAAGATGTCCCTATGAAGTAGGTGTCATTGTCATCACTATTTTACAGAAAAGAAACTAAGAAAGTTTGTTTGATAAGGTTCACTTAGGTTCACTGGAACATAATGTTCGAGTGGCTTACACAGCCAGTAAATGACACGGTTGGAAACGGAACAAAGAAAGGACCCCCAACCTCTCCCTCATAGTTCTATCATGAACATGAGAAAGTCTCACCTTGTAATAGTCCATTTTGTAACTGACAGTGTTCCACTGGGAATAATTATTAGAATTGGCTTTCATAAAAGCTATGTAATGTGATAACTATTTCTAATTTTAACCAATGATAGACTTGAAATTCAGAAGTATTAATTAGGAATAGTAGTAATGACAATTCCAGCTGTTTGTAATACATTTATGAGCAACATTTTCTCATTTTAACATTTCAGTGACTTTAAAGGGAAGAACTACTATTATGTTTGTTTTTTTATATGATAAATTTGATACACCAAGAGTCCTGAAGATGAGACAACTAGCAAGCTACAAACCCTCCATCTGAATTCAGGCAGGATACATAACTGCGGCACTAGACCTCCTTAATCAAGGGCTACAGTAATACAGCAGAATCCAGAACTCCAGCCATTCATTCAAATTCCATGGAATGAAAAAAATCATTGCATAAGAAAATTTGGTTTCTCCCCAATGTTCATGTATTTATTTATCTGTTGGATACTTATTGATATATATGACTGTCACAGTTCTAATAGAGTACTAACCCTTAAGGATTCTATGATAAAGCCGAATTTCTGCTGAAGGGATATACAATATGAAAATGGTAAATGTTAGAATAAAATGCAGGCTACCAATGAAGAGGAGACATCTTTCATTCACATGGAATTCAGCACACCTGTCCTCCCTGTGTGTTTAAATTTTTTTTTTTATTAGAAAGGCAGAGAGTCAGAGACAGTAGACAGAGAAAAGAGAGTTCTCCCACCCACCTGTTCACTCCCTAAGTGGCCATACCAGCCATGGCAAGGCCAAGCCAAACCAAGATCTCCCAAGCTGATAACAGGGACCCAGCTGGAGCCGTCACCTACTGCCTTCCATGATGTGTTTTAGCAGAAAAGCTGGAATTTGAAGTTGTGCCACTGCTTAACCCCAGGCATTCTAATGTGGGATGTGGCATCCCAGGAACATCTGCACGACTCCACACCCTTGTGTGTGCATTTTTAAGTCAATTACTCTATTGTAATTACTCTATTGTTGGCACTATATATGGTAAAGTAGAGAAACAAACCAAATTATACATATTCCCAGCCTTAAAGGAATTTATATTTTACTAGAGGAAACACATATATGAAAATTAATTACATGGCACCTTAATAGTGAAAGAAAGCTCATGGATTCAAAGGGCAGAAACAGGTGATTCATGTGCAACTAAAGTCAAGTTAAAAATTTAAACTCATTAGTACATGTGGTTAAATAAACACTAATTAAAAAATAATCCCAAACCATTTTTCATGGTAACATAAGCTTGCTCAAATTCTCCTGTGGAAAGAAAATTGCTATAATCTTTCTAGAAAATATACTGCAGCTTTAATCAGGAACCTTAAAATGGTTATAGCTGTTGACTGAATATGCCCACTTTTAGCAATCTGTCCTATGTTGTAAGAATTATGGGCAATAATATTCAAAATAGATTTATTAGTGAAATATGTGAGCAATATATTTATTCCCTACCAATGAGGGAAATTGATACAAATGGTCAAAAAACTGATCTTGAAAATTAACCAGTATCAAAGGCAAACATTTATAATGTGCTAAATAAAAACATTGGCTGCAAAACTATATTTACAGTGATATATATACTGATTATGATTGAAATATGTACAATTATATAGAATATGAAAAGTATTTGCTTAATTTTCAAATTGTGCAAAATCTTAAAATGTTCCTTTTTATACAACTCTTTATTTTACATGTGAATAAGTATTAATTTAGTTGAAATAAACATGAAAAATTTCAAAAGAGGTCATATCCTCCTTGGTGAGGACATTGGCTTTGGCATTTGAGAAAAACGACATTTGATCTGTGTTTTACAACAGGGGACAGCAAACATTTTCTGCAAGGGGTGAGATACTAAATATCCTTGGCTCTGTGGGCCACACTATCCCTGTTACAACTGTTCAGTCCTGTTATTGTAGCACAAAAGCAGCCACACACACTGCGTAAATAGAAAACCTGGTTCTGTTCTAGCAAAATTCATATTATAAATGATGAGGTTTAAATTTCGCATAGCTTTCACTTGTCATTAAATATCTTTTGCTTCCTTTTCAATAATTTAAAACCATCCTTAGCTCATATATATATATATATATATATATAAAACTAGTTAGCATTAGACAAAATTTCAGTTAGATAGTAGGAATACCTGTAAGTTCAATGGTCTATTGTACATCATGGTGATTATAGTTGATTTCTATGTAGTGTATTCTTAAAATCACCACAAAAAATAAGTTTATAAAAATAAGTATGTAACATAAAGTATGGGTAGCCATTCCATAATTTATAGATTATTCAAATAATGTTGTATACAATAAATATATACAATTTTGTTTATTGTTAATAAAGAAAAATATACTTTAAAAATTACTTACAAAATACATGGAAATATATTGCAGAGAAACAGTGAAAATCATGATGTACCTTTTGTTGTTGTTCTAGAAGGGAAGAAGATTTGCCTGAACTGGAGGAGAGGTCCAGCTATCAGTGGGCTGCCCTGAGAGAGAGAGATGGAGGGGAGAAACGGCGTGGGGTTTCCCTAGAGTAATGGGGTGATCCATAACCCAGACATGCCAGGGATGGCAATCTGTGTATGTCCTTGGACAAAGCCGTGTGTTCTAGAGTAGACATCCCTTTCGTGGGAATCAGAACAGAGCCTTTAAAGATGTTCTACTGGGTGTGATTTACACAGCTAACAAGAGAGCAATAGACTGAGAAGTGTAGTGAGAATCATGTAAATATTCCATTTGGCCATATAGAGGTGTCTGTTACAAAATAAACTAAAAGGATGATTTGGGATCAAACATCCCTGTAAAATGTTGCCTGTAAAAAAAAAAGGATGTTTACAGAAAGAGGTGTCAGCTAGGTTTAGTTTGGTGACAGGCAAGAGAGGAGCTGGCCCCATGGGCAGCAATAAGCAGCAATTTTAGAAGGTAGTCTGGCAGGTCAGTGTAAAATAACAAGCATTCTGTGGAAGGAGCCCTGTGACCTCTGCCCACTATGAGAAACTGCACCAACTGCTCCTGGCATTGCCCCACCAGCAGTCCAGAGAACTGCATGCAGTGAGCACTACTTCAGCTAGGCGGGGAGGGATCGCAGTGATTGCAAAAGGCTGCACGAGACACCCGTGGGAATTCTTGGTGTTCATCTCATTCTCCTGGTTCCTGCTCTGAGCTCCTTTTCGGAATTTTTAAGTGATAGGTTGAAGAGGCTGAGGAACACAATAGCCCAATTTTCCTCCGTCTATTCTAAGATTGGATCACTGCCTAAAATCTATGCGAAAGAGGGCAAAATTTAAAGGACGCAGTGGAAACATTGAAACTAAGTAGGCAGTCTATAGGAGATAGATGATATGAGCTAAATGATACATAGATGTAGATAAAGATGTCTTAGAAACATTTATAAAGATCATATACATATATACATATAGACGTACACCTATATACATGCATATAGGAACTTTGAAAAGTTCAGAGAAAACAGAATTAAAAGATAAGTCTATTTTGGTGCAAAAATTGTTTAAATCTATGAGTGGTTTTTTCATAATATGCATTTTCCATGAGATTTTTTTAACAATTCTCACATGCATGGATATCGATTTTTTGCACCAAAATAGATTTATCGTTTTATTCTATTTTTCCATGCACTTTTTAGAAGTCTCTCCTAAATATATAACATATGTTATTCATTGTATGATTCTTTTTTAATTCATATGCTTGGTTGTGGAGATAATCTAATCTGCTACCAAAGCCAAGTTCTTACTACTCCAGAGAATGTCAGAGTGATGCAGAAAACTAAAACTAATCTTAGACTTTTTGTTTCTATGTTTTTTTCCCCAACAATGAAAGGATTTTCATAAGCCAGGGAGTGGTCATCAAGGTATTAGGAAGAAAAAACAAAAATTAAAAGGAATGTCTAGTTTCTATTAAAACCTATTCTGTTTTCTCCTTTTTTCTTTTGCATTATGTAGTGAGTGATCAAAACTGAATGAGGCTTAAATAGTATGAAACCACACTGGAGATGTTCCCAAGAGTTTCTAGGACTTTTATCAAAGCAGCAGTATAGATCCAGAGAGAGGGATTATTCATCTAACATCAATAATCTTAATCTCTGGGTCTATTTTCATTCATTTTTCTTTTGTATTTTTTTTTGTTTCCAATGTTTTTCAAAATGCATTTTTCCTGTATAATTAAGGGAAAACATGATTGTGGTTTTATTTTTTAATACTCATGGACAACTGAAGAACAACAATCCCCAGCAGTGATCAGGTAACTGGGACCTGAAGGAGCGGTGCTCAGCTGAGAAGCGCAAACGATGCCATTTCTTCTGTAAAGTGAAAAGGCCCCCGGGCTCGTCTTCATCCTCTTTTATTGAGCTAGTACACCAACATGTATGATCATTTTACAGATCAGCTTGAGTTACTCCTGCTATTATTCAGTATCTTAAAGTACAGCATCCTCGTGGGTTTCTTTCTCAGAACTGTCACAGCCCGGGTTCCCTAACGGCCTGGATCATAAACTATTTCTCTGTGTATTTTTTCACTTTCTCCTCATGTAAATTTTCATGGGACCTTCATGTTTGCTTCTACAAGGCCTTCATTTGAGAGAATCTCCCACAAATGAAATGATTGAGTAAAAGTCATGTTAATTAATTAGGGGCTGGCGTTGTGGCACAGTGGGTAAAGATGCTGCCTCTGACTGGCATCCCATAAGGCTGCTCTTCCGATCCAGCTCTCTGCTATGGCCTGGGAAAGCAGCAGAGGATGGCCCAAGTGCTTGGGCCCCTGCACCCATGTGGGAGACCTAGAAGAAGCTCCTGGCTCCTGGCTTTGGCCTGGCCCAGCCCAGGCCATCGGAGTCATCTGGGGAGTAAACCGGTGGACAAAAGAAATCTCTCTTTCAAATAAATAAATCTATTTTTTAAAAAGTTAGCTAATTATTAAAAGGCTAATATGAATTAAAGGATGATTCTATATTGCAAGATATTCTTCTAAAGCACAGATGTGTTTCCTGCAACATCATTGTTGCACTTACACGTGCTCTATCTTATTTTAATGGTTTGGCTTTAAAGTTTAGTTGATGAGGATTTGTAATTAATGGGGTCTCCTAACGATTTAAAAATTTCCCATAAATTCCTATTTGTTAAATTTTCTTACTTTAAATGCTTTATGTGAAGATAACGAAAGGCTCAATATCAACATTTATGCAAATTTAAATGAGATGACATCATTGCAGCTGGAAACGAAGACAATATTCAGATGGAGCCTTCAACCAATTTGCTAGTAGAGTTTTCTCCTATTTCTGTGATGCAGATGTGGAAACTGAAAAAAACTCAGAATGAATGCCAAGAACTGACATGTGATGGGAACATTGTTCATTGCTTCTTTCAGTAAACCACAGAAAGATAACCAAGGCTACTGCGCCCAGTACAGAGGGGAGGTGTGTAACACAGTCCTGGCAAAGGATGCGCTTGTGTTTTTCAACACCTCCTACGCGGACCCTGAGGAGGCCCAAGAGCTACTGGTTCACACTGCCTGGAATGAACTGAAAGCAGTGAGCCCACTGTGCCGGCCAGCCGCTGAGGCTTTGCTGTGTAACTACATCTTCCAAGAGTGCAACCCCGGAGTAGCACCTACTCCTACCCCCATTTGCAGGTAAAATATCAAAAATAAGTAAATGAGAAAATTCCTTGTTGCTGTCTGCAGTCAGGAAGGGTCTTCAAAAGAAGTTGTGACATGCAATTGTTAAGGCAAAAGCTATAATTATTCAGACAAAATTCCTCCCATGTAAAAAGCCAATGATATCTTATAGTACAAGCACTCTGAATTTTTAGAAAATGTCATAAAGGGTATAATATTCCATTATTATTTTTATAATGCATGTTAAAATCAGATTTAAAATTTTAATGATTCATCAAATAAAAAGAGAAATACTAAGCTAACATGGACCTCATTAGTAAGCCATGATAAAGAAACACAGATAAATACTTAAAGTGTTTCAGCATTATTTACCAATGAATGAGAACATGATAAGCATTTCAGGAAATCATTTTAAAATAGTTCATTTCATTCTATATTCTCAGTTCTGACACTCTTGGGGCGGGGGGAGAAGTAAGTTATGAGTAGGTATTTTGTTAAACGCCCATATTCTTCAAACATTAAAATTCATAAACCCACGTTCAATAGAAGTAGCTTTGCCTTTATTAACTTCTTAAATAAAACGCAGAACCTAAGTTGGCTCTTGAGCGAGAACACAGTTGAAATACTGTTAGTTCTGCTTTGTATGTGATCGTGGCTAAACTTAAGTTTCCTCATCTGTGCACTAGGGTTGTATGGGATAAAGGGTACATCCATTCGTGGAATGTATTAGAAACTGGATAGCTACTCTTCTTCCTACATTTTCTTTTAAAGAAACTACAGGAAAACTATCAACACGGCATATCTTCACCTTCTTCTGATAAAACCAGGAACTATTTACCCTGAAATAATTTTAGGGCACTCTCTGTGTAGCATAAAAGGACTACAGAAAGGGCATTAAGAGTGCTCTGTTCCTCAGCTTGATACAAAATTTGAGGTATGGACATACCTCAAGGGTGATAGCATTTTTCTGCACCTAAGATGATGGCATTGTGATTGTGTAGTACATCTAAAATTCTCAAAGGACTCCAGCATTGAAGGAATGACAGGAAAGTGAAGAGTGAAATCATAGCTATTGCAGAAAAAAAAAGTAGGGAAAACAGGGGTTAAGAGGCAGTAAAATTAGATCTTCCTGGAAATCAGAAAATATTGATTGTTTCAATTGCCCTGGCAAGTATTTGAAGAAATCTTGCCTCTGCTGTCACTTCTGTAATTTAAATTTCTGTTGCTTGGGCTTCTTGGTAGTCTTTTCCAAGATTGTCTGTTAGAGGCTAATAATGAAAAAGGTTTAACTACAAAGCAGTGCTTATACGGCTATAATAAAATAGAAAGGGAAACCAGCGAAAGAATGTGACCTTAGATTCGGTCAATCCTCCCATTAGCACTGCCCATGTAATGTGCAGTGGGGTTGGAATAGCTATCGTACTTGCATACTGTGGACAAAGCCTGAGAAGAGACAATTAGATTATAAATATGTTACTCATTTTTGTGGTAGTCACTGTGGTCTTCTGATTACAAAACCCACACGACTGACTTCACTGAATTAAAAAACAGAATATATGCAAACAATCAAAATACACAGTATAAAAATCTTGAGTATACTTGATGATTTTAGGTCTACTCATTTTTTCTCTTGCATTGTTCATTCTTTTCTGACCAAATTGTAAGACTATTATACCTTAAGTACTTGCTTAGTATTTGTTTTGCAAATTACTTTTCTCAGTGTGAAGGGAACTTTGACTATTTAATTTTTGAAAATATTGGCTATTGATTTTTTTATGAACATGTTCATATGTGTACAAAAACAGAGATCATAGAACAATGAATACACATGTACCCTTCCCTCAGCCTTCAGTTCATCAACCAAGGGGAATCTCAGTTCATCCCTGCCTACACAGGCCCCGGTAATGCCATCCTCAGACTGCTGGCTTTGAAGAAATTCCCAAACATTAGATTACTTGATCTATAAGCATTTTGCATGTGTCTCTAAAACAGGAAACATTATTTTGTGTAGGTTTTGTTTTTGGCACTTTTTAAACAGTTTGCTATTTTAATTTTTTTGGTCAATCGTTCTTGTGGGGTTACTATGTTTGAAAACTATGCACCCTGATCGTGTAAGGAAGTTTTCCTTGCAAAAAGTTGAATTTTTTTATTTACCCTCGGAGCAGACCCATTGTCCCACTGCCACATACCTGAAATGCTGTCCATGTTAGACTGCAAATTCCATTTTGAATTTGATTGTAATGACACTAAGTTTTTAGAATTACTTGGGGGAATTGCTGTAATTACACTGAGCATCCCTATGTAGGCATAAGGTACGTCATTCCTTCTAGTGAGATCTGGCTTCATGCCTGCTAGTAGAGCTTGCTGATCTCCCTCACACAACTGTCTTTCTCCCTCAGTGTATTACTCTGTGTGTTTTATTATCATTGCTCTTGTGAATCAGGAGTACTAACTACAATATAATTGTCCCACTAGGTCAGAATGCCCACAACATGTGGAGATGCAGTTTCTCCCCTAGTTACTTATTTTAATAAAATACTACTAATTTCTTTGGAATTTTTTAAATTTTGGAGCTGTGCTGTATAATTTTGTGAATATTTCAATCAGATTTTAAAACATCATACGGGAGTATAAATATATATACAATAAACTGGACCCCTTCTGAGCATACAGTTCAGAGACTTGACAACAGCATATGGCTCTGCAACCACTACTCCAATCAAGACTCAAATCACAGAATGCTTTTACCATCCATAAAGCTCCCCTACACTTTCTCTAACCAATTCCTCATTTTCCCCAAAGGCATCTGCTGTTGTGGTTTCTCTGACCGTAGATTAGTTTTGCTTGTTCCTGAATTTCATACTCTTGGCATCATACAGGATGTACTGCTTAACTCTCTACTTCTTTCACTAAACATACTGCACTGTTTTTGATATTCATCATTTTGCTGCACAGAACAGTAGCTTGTTTCACTTTATTGTTGCTTTTACTTATTTGTGTGTCTGAGGTGAAAATAGAGTTACATGAGGGAATGGGGAGGGGTAAGCTCCTCCTAGTATGGTTTAATTCTAAACAAATTAATTTGGACAACTACAGTATCAAAAAGAAACTTGTAGAAATCTCAGATTGCTCAAGTTTACACACTCATTAACAACAAGAAGTCAGATACCAGATTCAGGCAAAAGTACCTCCAAAGAGTCTAATCTGGCAATCCTTATTCTAATTTAGTTTGATACTATACATCCTAATTATTGAATCAAGTAATTCTTCAACTATAAATAATTGTTCCTTGTCAACAAGCAGGGTAAAAATTTCCATTTTATTAGTTCACAGTTTATTGCTAATTCACAACAAAGTTATTATATTTTATTATACTTAGATATATCAACCACTTTATAGAGTTTCTATTAGATTTATGGTTGATATTCTTGTAGTTCCTGTGTAAGAGATCATATGGTCTATAAACAATATATACCTCTTTCTTAGTTAGGATCTCTCCTTTTTTTTTAATTAAAATGTATGAATTTGGAGTTCTTGAGAATTAAGTCTAGCAATTAGGACACTTGCATCCCACATATGAGTACTTGGGTTCCATTCCAGGCTTCAGCTTCTAACTCCAACTTCCTGTTATTGTAGACCCATGAGGAAGTGGTGATGGCAAAAGCAATTGGATTCTTGCCACCTGTGTGGGAAACCTGGATTGAGATCTCAACTAAATGTCACTGGGCATTTGAAGAGTGAGCCAGTGTTTGGGAGTGGTCTATCTATCTTCATATCTATTTTTGTCTGTAAAATAGATCAATAAAGTTTTTATTTATTGTTTTTTTTTAACTTTTATTTAATGAATATAAATTTCCAAAGTACAGAATATGGATCACAATGGCTTCCCCCCCATAACGTTCCTCCAACCTGCAACCCTCCCCTTATCCACTCCCTCTCCCCTTCCATTCACATCAAGATTCATTTTCAATTCTCTTTATATACAGAAGATCAGTTTAGCATACATTAAGTAAAGATTCAACAGTTTGCTCCCACACAGAAACATAAAGTGAAAAATACTGTTTGAGTACTAGTTATAGCATTAAATCTCAATGTACAGTACACTAAGGACAAAGATCCTACATGAGGAGTAAGTGCACAGTGACTCCTGTTGTTGACTTAACAAATTGACACTCTTGTTTATGGCATCAGTAATCACCCTAGGCTCTTGTCATGAGCTGCCAAGGCTATGGAAGCCCCCTGAGTTCACTGACTCTGATCATATTTAGACAAGGCCATGGTTAAAGTGGAAGTTCTCTCCTCCCTTCAGAGAAAGGTACCTCCTTCTCTGATGACCCATTCTTTCCACTGGGATATCACTCACGGAGATCTTTCATTTAGGTTTTTTTTTTTCCCCAGAGTGTCTTGGCTTTCCATGCCTGAAATACTCTCATGGGCATTTCAGCCAGATCCGCATGCCTTAAGGGCTGATTCTGAGGCCAGAGTGCTGTTTAGGACATCTGCCATTCTATGGGTCTGCTGTGTATCTCACTTCCCATGTTGGATCGTTCTCTCCCTTTTTTATTCTATCAGCTAGTATTTGCAGACACTATTCTTGTTTATGTGATCCCTTTGGTTCTTAGTCCTATCATTATGATCAATTGTGAACAGAAATTGATCACTGGGATTAGTGAGATGGCATTGGTACATGCCACCTTGATGGGATTGAATTGGAATCCCCTGGTATGTTTCTAACTCTACCGTTTGAGGTAAGTCAGCTTGAGCATGTCCCAAATTGCACATCTCTTCCCTCTCTTATTCCCACTCTTATATTTAACAGCAATCACTTTTCAGTTAAGTTTCAGCACTTAAGAAGAATTGTGTATTGATTACAGTATTCAACCAAAAGTATTAAGTAGAACAAACAAAAAAAATACTAAGAGGGATAACATATTAAGCTGCTCATCAACAGTCAGGATGAGGGCTGATCAAGTCACCGTTTCTCATAGTGTTCATTTCACTTTAACAGGTTTCCT